CACCTGCATAGAGTGGTTTTCACGCTCTCAGTTCCAGGACTTGAACAGTTGTTGGCCATATTAGATTCTGATGCCTTAACCACCATACCACCTACCGGTCCCAACCTTTTTGATTTTTAAATTTTAACTTCTCATTTTGAAATAATTTTACACTTATAAAAATGTTGTCAAATGGTACAAAGAGTTCTCTTACATCTTTTACCCCAAATATGTATCCTTTCACAGGTGATAATATGATTTAAGCGATTTCATGTCGTGGGGTTTTAGTATAGTTAGGATCAATAGATTTGGCAGTAGGATATATTTAATATTAATCTGGTGTAGCATCAGCATTATTCAAAACCCAGCTAAGGGGCCAGCAAGTGGCGTGGTAGTTAAGGACACTGGAGTCCCACATGGCCAACCGTTGTTCAAGTCCTGGACCTGGTGGCTTGCTTTCTCACTTTCTTTCTCTCTCTCTCTCTCTCTTTCTCTTTCTCTCTTTCTGTCCCTCTCTGGTCAAATCAAAAAAATAAATAGCATTAAAATTAAAAAACAAAACAAAACAAAAAAAAACAGCTAACAGTGAGTTTTATCTTTTTACCATCTTATTTCCATTAGATGGGAGCTTCATCTTTAATTGACTAGCAAGACAGGTATATGGTACCCAGGCACTTTTCCTTGAGAAGGGGAGGGCTTCCCCATTTATTTCAAAATGTCAAAGCTATGGAAAAGTTGAAATTATAGTGCAGTGAACACTCATATCCTCCCCTAGATTTACTAAATGCCGTTATGTTTTTGAACTAAACTCTGAAAGTAAATTGCAGACATCATGATCCTTTGCCCCTAAGTATTGATATTTCATTCAGCACATGTATTTCCAAAGGAAAAAAATTCTCCTAAATTTTCCTTATTAACAGTGATAATGTTATCCTTTTAGGCCATTTAGCCTCAGTATTATGTTACCACCTAGTAGTAGGCAGTTCATATTCAGATTTCTCTACTTTTTATAGCTGGTTTTTAATAACCCAGTATCCAGTCAGGGTCATACATTGCATATGGCTGTCACGTCCTGTAATTTAAAAGCACCCAACCTTTGTTTTCAATACATGGATGTTTTTGAAGAGTACAGGCCAGTTGTCTTATAGAATGTACCCCCGGCACGTGCGCTCGCCAGAAAGAGAGAGACAGAGAGTCAGAAAGCGAGAAATCACCCCCCGGGGGGATGGCCACGCTGCAGTCCCTTCTCCTCCATTCTTCTCTCAGGATCTTGGGCACGCATGCACACGCGCCCAGCGTTGAGTTTTAAGCCACCGGGTCCGGGACTCAAATCGTGGTCGACTACATGGGAGTCCAGCGACATAGCCATTAG